GCCACTGCACTCCAGTCTGGGCGACAGAGTGAGATTCCAACTCAAAAAAAAAAAAAGATTTAATTAAGATGAGCTGCCCTCCCTCACCCCTACCCATGAAGGCCACAGCCACCATCACTCCACACACCTTCCTCCTTCCTGACCCCCTCAAACAGCTGATCTCAAAAAAGATTAAAATCAGCTGATACCCAACTTCCCTCTCTTGTCCTAAGGGATGAATCAAACAATGCTTCAACAGAGAGAGCTATAAAAGGATCCATGACTGACCAGTCCTGGGCAAAGAGTGGGCCTGGTAGAATTCTCCTACCCCCACTGCACACATTCAGCCAGGGACCTACTATGAACATAGAACTGGTAAAGGGAAGGAGAAAAGAGAGAAGGGAGGAGAAGGCAGAGAGTGAGACATGCTCTTCTAAGCATGAGGTTAAATTCAGAATCTATTAAGCAACAGACTTTGAACCACACTACATACAAGCTACTGGGGGTTATCCCAGGGGATTTAAGCGAGATGGTAGGAACTCTGGCAGCTTCATACTCTCCCTGTGTCTTCCCCCAACGCACCCACGAAAACACACTCATGCAACTAATATAGAAATAACCATGTAAACATCTGCAACAAAGTTAGATACCAGCATCCCCTACAGACCCCTAAACATGCAAGTGGCAAGGGATGAGCCACCCACCAAGACCAATTTGGTATCACTGTCTGTGCAAGCAAAGTAGCAGGAAGCCACAAGGCATGTGATGGCCCTATAACCCCATTCTAATCACCAGGAAAGCTCAGAGGATCAACTGGATAATAGCTGTTGGACCCAGAAGAGTTTTCATCCTCGCTTAGTGTGCGAGTGTACGGTGTCTGTGAGGAGGAAAGGGCCAATGCAGATTATGAACTCTCAAAACCCCACACTGAGGAGAAACTACAGGAAACAGGGCCCTAATTGTGCAGGACAAGAATAACAGATATCAAAAGGAAGGTTCAGGCCAGGCGCAGTGGCTCATGCCTTGGCACTTTGGGAGGCCAAGGCGAGAGGATTGCCTGAACCCAGGGGTTCCAGGTCACGCTGAGCAGCTTAGTGAGACCTCGTCTCTAAAATAAATTTAAAAATTAGTGATGGTGGCAGGTGCCTGTAGTTCCAGCTACTTGGAAGGCTGAGGCAGAAGGATCGCCTGAGCCCAGCAGGTCGAGGCTGCAGTAGCTGTGATCGTGCACTCCTGTCTGGGTGACGAAGTGAGACTCTAATTCAAAAGAAAACAAAGAGTAAGATTCAGATCAAAGCAGACGAGCACAGAAAGTGAGTAAGCTGCCATAGTTCTGTACACACCAATAGACAGAAGAAAGGCCAGAGAATAAAGCTAAGCTACCCTGACTCACATGTCTCTGCTTAAAGAACAGAAAATTTTAATTTCATGCAAAAAATGAGTAACAGAAGATAATCTAGGCTAAATTCCACACAAAGCTACTATAAGAAAAAAGCATGAGGAGCAAATGGAATCCTTACAGACAACAAAAGGACACCAGAGAAGTGTGCCCACAGAACAGTGAGAATGAAAACAACACCTCAAAGGTAGGTATTAAAACTGAGGAAAGATTTTAAAATAATTTCAGAAAAGAAGAGTCAATTACAAAGATCATGCCCCGTGAATAAACACAATGATGTCTTAAGAGAAAGAGATGATAGGAGGAAATGCTTAAAGATCAGTATGAGAAAATTCTAGCAAAATTAACAAATATAGGAGACATATAAATAGGAGTCCCCAAAGAAGAAAACCTGAACAAATAGAAAAACCAAACATTTTAATTTCCCTGAAATTGAGAATAAAAAACAAGGTTTGACCCTATACGTGGAAAGCACAGGATGGTGGGGCCTGGGCGTCATCAGCAAGCTCCGCCTCCTTCCCAGGGGACATCCCAGCCTGGGCGGCAGTGCTTCCAGTCAGAGAAGTATCTCCAAGAAAGAAATCCCCCAGCAGTTACAAAGTGAAGAAGAGGTGAAGACAAGGATGACACTGGGTTTCCAAAACCCCCAACTTCCAATGTGGCCACCACCCTGCCCAGTTAGGACAAGGCCAAGAGCACCAAGGCTGAAACTACTAGCCCTTTGGCTCCTGAAGAGATGAAGATTTTGTGGGTCAGATTCTGATGATGCTGACCAACCAAGGATAGGAAATGATGGCATTCTCCCTTCACTGGACTAGGTGTTCCTGTCTTTCTGCCTGACCTCCTCAGTCGCGGGAAGGTATGGAGCCATCTCAGGATTGGGTCTCTCCCGAATCAAGTGGATGCTGACTATCAGGTTTTTGTCTATTTCCCTGGATACCTGGATGGTCAGTACGGGCTCTGGTGGGTGTTCCTGGTTTGAAGCTGTCTCCTGTTTCTCAGAAGATTTATCAATCATGCAAAAATTCAGAAGATGCCAGAAACATTCCCGAATCTCCCCAGGACCAAAATTCTCTTTATTTACTAAAGATGTTTTCTGGCAAAGGCCTTCCTGCGTTTATGAATTCCCTCTCCAGAAGCAAGAGGACACCTGCAGGAAGGGAATCAAGAAGCAGAACACAAAGGAATCACCTCCTGCTGTAAAACAATAAAGGACTAGCAGAGTGCAGTGGTTCATGCCTGTAATTCCAGCACTTTGGGAGGCCGAGGTGAGAAGACTGCCTGAGCCCAGGGGTTTGAGACCAGCCTGGGCAACATGGCGAGACCTTGTCTCTACAATAAATAAATTTTAAAAAGTAATTAGCTGGGTGTGGTGGCACACACCTTTTGTTCCAGTTTGAAGCAGAAGGAACACCTGAGCCCAGCAGGTTGAGGCTGAGGTGGCTGTGAGCGCACCACTGCACTCCAGCCTAGGTGACAGAGTGAGACTCCAACTCAAAACAAACAAAAAAAAGGACTGTTGAGAAGATCCTTTCTATTTGTTTCTAGGTGTAAAATGTTAATAGTTCGTGCAGAATTCTGTAATCACTGAATCATTAGTGGTTAATGTTTGAAAGGCTCTTGCAATCAAGTCTGTGCTGTATTACTAATGCCTTATCATATTGTTTGCAGTCATTTTTAAATAGCATGAGCCATGTGCCTATAGTCAGTAGGGCTAATCTTGGTTTATTCATCCTCCATCTCAAACCGAATTTGGAATTAACTATTTTAAAATATGTATCATGCTGACCATTTTAAAGGGGTTCTCTCAAAAGTT